TGCAAACTTGGGATCATCGATCGAAGAAGAGGATATCGTCCCGGAGACTGTCGTTCAACTGTCAAGGTCGGTGGTCGAAGAAGGCCATGCGGAGATTAACTCAACAAGTTTGACATGGGATTGGAGGAATAAGTACGCCAACTACTTGAAACATAGGAAGCGCCCCGCTGACCCAAAAGAGTCAAGAACACTTCGAGCCAAAGCAGCTCGATTCTTACTCGATGAAATGGAACGTTGTACAGAAGAACCCTCGATGGACCACTGGCAGTATGCTTGGGACCCGGGGACACCGATTACGTATTATGAGAAATCCACGAAGGCACGTGTGGGAACCATTCTTGTGCAGACTCTCTGGTTCGCAAGGTGATCAGAGCGGGGTATTATTGGGATAGCATGGAAAAGGATATCACGGAGTTCGTTCAAAGATGTGATAAATGCCAAAGATTTGCACCGATGATCCATCAACCCGGTGAACAAATCCATCCGGTCCTATCCCCGTGGCCATTCATGAAATGGGGGATGGACATCGTCGGCCCCCTGCCAACGGCGCCAGGTAAAGCTAGATTTATTTTATTTATGATTGACTACTTCTCAAAATAGGTTGAAGCACAGGCCTTCGAGAAGGTAAGAGAAAAAGAAGTCATCGAATTCATATGGGACCACATCATATGTCGGTTCGGGATACCCGCCGAAATAGCATGTGACAACGGGAAACAGTTCATCGGCAGCAAAGTAACAAAATTCCTTAAGGACCAAAAAATCAAAAGGATTCTATCAGCACCTTACCACCCAAGTGCAAATGGTCAGGCCGAGTCCACAAACAAAACCATCATTCGAAACTTAAAGAAGAGGTTAGATGATGCTAAGGGGAAATGGAGAGAAGTATTACCTGAGGTGCTATGGGCATATCGAACGACTCCGAAGTTGAGCACGGGGAAGATCCCGTTTTCATTAGTATATGGGTCCAAAGCTTTGATTTCAGTCGAAGTCAGGGAACCTAGCGTCAGGTTTCAGTATGCCACTGAGGCCTCAAATCACGAAGCCATGAACACTTCTCTCGAGTTACTAGACGAGAAACATGAGGCCGCATTAATTCGAATGGCCGCGCAAAAACAAAGAATCGAAAGGTATTACAACAGAAGGACGAACCTTTGATATTTCGGAGTTGAGCACTTACTCCTAAGGAAAGTCACTCTCAACGCTCAAGACCCAAATAAAGGGAAACTAGGCCCCAATTGAGAAGGACCGTACCATGTCATCGGAGTCGTAGGGAAAGGATCCTACAAACTTAGCATAATGGAAGGCGAGCAACTACCAAACAATTGGAATGTATAGTTGCTCAAACGCTATTACTGCTGAGGTATGACCTTCTCCCCTTTTCCATTTTAAAAACTAACTCCTTGCAGATGTTCGATTTGAAACATCGATGTACCCTTCAGCTCGAAGACCCTAGGTTTTAAAGCATGTTTTGCTCTCTTTTTCCCCTAGATCGGGTTTTATCCCAAATGGGTTTTACCGGCATGGTTTTTAACGAGGCAACACCTATATGCTACCTAAGGAATATTCAATAAGTATTCAAGGCTTCTTTTCAATCAGCCTCAAATAAAGGGGGGCATCACCCTTGGAGGTTACCTTCTCAAAGAAAACAAGCCATGCCAAAGAAGGCCTCGATAGGAGAATGTTCTAATGGGCCAAACGGTCAAACGAACCGTGTCCATGTAGAATAGTCAAGCCCCCAACGGCAAAACATGTACGCATGTATTAACTATCCAAAGAAGCATTCTTATTATATATCAAAACACTTCGTGCCTCAAAGAAGTCTACTATTTTCACATTTAACGGCTCAAGGGCCAAAACCCCGAATGCACCCGAATACTCGGGGACTGTCATCGACAATCGGCACATCGAGTCATCGAACACTCAAACTTATAAGACCTCAAAGAGGCACACTCAAACTTATAAAACCTCAAAGAGGCACACTCGAACTTATAAGACCTCAAAGAGGCACACTCGAGCTCATAAGACCTCAAAGAGGCACACTCGAACTTATAAGACTTCAAAGAGGCACACTCGAGCTCATAAGACCTCAAAGAGGCATCCCCTCGATATTAAGGCCGAGGCCATCACACTTGGGGACTAAAGGCTACTTCCATATAAAAGACTACGGTCACTTGAAAAGGCTACGGCCATATAAAAGACTAAGGTCACATGAAAAGGCTACGGCCATATAAAAGACTACGATCATATGAAAAGGCTACGGCCAAAATAATGTAGCTCGGAGATATCCGACTTCCGCCGTAAAACTAAAGGCCTTCAAATACTTCGAAAAACCGGTTAAACTCGGCTACCCTCGGCAAAAGCAAAAAGGGCTTCGATAAAATCAGCCCTCAAATGAGTTAAAGGCTTCGATAATATCAGCCTTCGAAAAACCTCAAGAGGTATTCAATTATTACACAACCAAGTTACTAATAAGGTTCTGATACGTCGAAACCCCGAAAAACCTAACGAGTACAAGAAACACATGCTAAGGCATAAAGAAATTTTCACTAAGTCTTTTAGCCAAAAAGAGGGAAAAATTATAACCGTCCTAGAGGCCGAATTAGCCCTACTAAAAGAGCCTAAGGGCCGATCTAAAAGAGCCTATGGGCCGATCTAAAAGAGCCTATGGGCCGATCTAAAAGAGCCTAAGGGCCGATCTAAAAGAGCCTAAGGGCTAACTTTATTTCGAGTTCGAGCAAGTACTCACTCGACTACGAAGCCCAAGGGCTACCCGAGTTTGAGAAAATTCTCACTCGGGACTATCCACGAAGCCTAAAGCTAACTTTATTTCACGTTAGAGCAAGTACTCACTCGACTACTAAGCCCAAGGGCTACCCGAGTTCGAGAAAATTCTCACTCGGGGACTATCTACGAAGCCTAAAGAGCTAACTTTATTTCAAATTCGAGACCTTGCTCTCACTCAACTCGGACTCAGGAGTCCCGGTGTCCCGAGCTCGCATCAAATCAACTTAAGCTTAGCTCAAGGATTAACAAAGAACCTTAAGGGGTATTATATTGGTCGATTAAAAACCTAAGGGTTTATTATGTTCCGGGTCCAGTATACGGACTGATCATTAGAGTTATACACTCGAATTTTTCACAAACGAAGGCAGAATGGAATTTAACACGAATCAAAGATGACATAGAGAAATTCTTTATATTTACAAAAGTTATTTACAAAGCCCACGAGGGGCCCTTACACAGAAACAAAGAAGAAAAAACAAAAACCAAGAACCTAATCTACTTTTGGGGGCATATCCTCAAGAGCGGCATCTTCGATAACCTCCTCCTCGGGGACTCCATCTCGATCTTTAGAGAAAATTGTGGCCTAGTGAAAAACTTGGCAAGCGTGGGCCTTATCAGCACAACTATTTTGAACCACTTCTTGAGATGTTGTACCAGTGTGGGATGCAAAAGTTAATAGATGATAGTGCCACCTCACTCCATGGAAAACAGAAGGGATGAAGTGCCACACCAGGTTGAAGTTAAGAGAGATGAGCGGCAGGGTGAAGTTCGCATATTTTCTGATGCGGGAAGGATTTTGCACCCCTTTTTCGTTGCTTCGAATCGAAGCTTCAAAAAGAAAGGCCTTGGCGTAACTGGTAAAGTTGCTACCATGTGACCAGGAGTTCGCAGGTTTTGAATCATGGAAGCAGATGATTAGATGAAAAAATGAATAGGGGAAAGAACCAGAGTAAAAATGGTGAATGAACACTGTATTTATAGAAAGAAAGACAGCGACGATTTCGGTGGCACAAGTGGCCGACCGACACTGGCGCGCATTTGATGTTCTGGGAAGAGCGTTGACATGACATTTACGGTCACTTCAAACGCCTACGTCACGGGCATAACATCATCCTAAGAGGCTCAAAAAAATCGAGGTCCAAATCGTTTCTTACTAGGAGTTCTTACACGAAAACACTAAGGCAAAGTAAAGAGACCTAGAACTACTCCGGGGTCACCTCCTCGGTCACTTCAGTTGTTGACGTCATAATGTTAGCACCGGGGTCGAGGCGTTGAGCATCGAGATTCAAATCGTTTCATATCATTTTATTCTAAGAAATGCAGGGACTATATGTATGCGGTCGAAATCGGAGAGCTCGATTTCGAGGACATAACGGTACCCCGAGTTCGAGTTTAGGAAGCTCGAAGTAAGAATCAAGCTTGGCCTGGATGTGCACACCTCGAGAAGCAAATCGGAGACCCGTCATGCTCTACCTCGGGGGTAGTACAATTTTGATGACACTCAAGAAAGAGCGGGAATTCCTCAAGGACACGTAGGTCTGGGCATAAATTGAAGGATAAGATTTGTACGAATGGTACAGGTCCGTACTAGGTTATTGTACACCTGTACCAATAGAATTCTTTACTACAATTAGGAATGTACTATAAAGGGGACCCCAATCATCTTGTAAGGGGAAACTTACATTATTCTCAGCAATAGAACTTTCCACTCTATTTTCTTACTTAACGTGCTCAACAATTGTTCTTCAGCCTTATTGTTTTTACTTTATTGTTCATACTCTATTGTTCTTAACTGACCTCGAGGTCCCTGAGATAATGAAGCTCGAGGCCCCAGATATAATGAAGCTCGAGGCCCCCGTTGCTCTAACAACACTGGTTTGGTTCATCAATTCTTCTTACTTAAACCTAATATTACTTGTATATTCACTAGTATTGGAATAAATCACATATCTTTAAAACCACAAATCACCTTTAATTGTTACTCACATTTTTCGAGATAAACAAGAAGGTTATATATATATAAAATATTTTCACACCATTCATTGAACAATTAACAAATTCAATTGATTGATGAATGAAACGACGCCGACACGTGGCATGAGTGCGTAGAAGACTACCAGTTTACTTTTTTTTTTTTTCCGAACTCTTGGTTTACTTGCAGTGTTTATAAATAGGATTGTTCCATTTAATATTCTTGCTTAGGCGGCTAGGCCTTCCTCTTTAATTTCTCTTTGCCATAACTAAATCACACAGTTGCTTCTCTTTACCCTGCATGGTTCCCTCTTTCTTTATATTACCACCATATATTCTTGTTTTACTTCCAATTTCCCTTTCCTTTCTTCAATCTATTAGTGTAGATTTTAAATAACAAATTCATCAGCGTGCGAATATTAACTTTACCCACTACTCATTGTGAAAATAGGTACATACATATACATTACTATTTCTTTTTGTATAAAATCTCTTCCTTCTGCCTACCCTACTCATTGTTGTACGTTGTGTATACCATCATTGTAAATTTCTGCTTTCTTTCTTGATTCTTGTTTTTCTATCTTGGAAAGTTTAGATTTTTATTTAAACAACTGAGATGATGATCATATTCCCAGGACACCCACTAAGGAATAAGCTTTAAAGATTATCAAGAAAAGGATTATTCTATGACCAAATTTGAGTTTCAGCAGTAACTTTTGGTGGGATTGAAAATTGGATTTTAAAGGAGAGATTATGAAACTCTGCCTTTTGGAATTAGGAAATTTTATCATTACAAGAGGGTCCATATAATTGCAAAGAAGTTTTCTTTATTTATGGTTTCACAGAAATTTTGATCATAAATAGGGATTTTGACCTGAATATGTTAGGCTGTATTAATGTATTAGATGAAATCAAGGTTTTGGTTCTGCTTTCACTACTATAATTCCATCTTAATTACTGTGTTTGAGTTTTTCTTTTCTGGTACAATATTTATCTGTTGGCTAAATCGGAACTTATTGATCTTATTGCTGTTAAAATTTTGCTGTATTTTCATACTTATGAATTTCATCCAACCAAGTCGGAAGCTTTTGAATCTTTGAGTTCAATTTGTTGAAAAGGGATAAGTGATTTTGAGGGTAATAATTGTTGCAAACAGTGACAATGGAGTATGGTGAAGGGGTCCAATTGAATCCCTCTTGGCCGAAAAATTGTACTGTGTATGGATATAAAAAGATTCTTTTGGTATATATAACTTTTTGAATCCCCTTTATATAAGGAAAACTTTTAGTGTAGTGTTATTTGAATCCCCTTGTTAGAATTTCTGGCTCCGCTGCGGAGCAGAGTACCACGTTATGCCATGTACACTTTTATGATAATAGATGCAGACTTAGGATACCTACATATTTACAGAAGTTATTCAACATTATGTGCAGCTGTTTGAACTGATACCAATAGGCGGTGTCCCAGTTTATATTTGTACAAGTTTTTCCAGTTTATATACAATAATTTGAACCAAAAGTAATGGATTCGCACACGATTTGCCCAAGCTCACATCTCTTAGGTCTTATTATGGCAATAGACATTGTACAATTGTTTTCTCTGAAGAATCTTCTAAATGCTTAGGCTTCTTCTGTTTACTCTTATAGAACTCAGAATGCCAACTGCAAATCCTGATCAAGAAAATGAATTATTTGCTGAGGTTGATCCATTCGGGAGGTTTGGACGGTATGAAGAGCTTCTAGGCCGTGGTGCAGAGAAGATGGTGTATAGGGCATTTGATATTGCGGAAGGCAGAGAAGTCGCCTGGAATCAGATTAAATTGAACAAATTTCATGGCGACGCTTTCATCATCAATAAGATATATTCTGAGATCGAGTTGCTGAAGAACTTGAAGAATGACAACATCATAGTCATGTACCATTTCTGGAAGGACTGTGAGAAGAACATTCTGAATTTCATAACTGAGGCATGTGCGTCTGGTAATTTGAGGGATTACAGGAAGAAGCATCGTCATGTTTCGATAAAGGCCTTGAAGAAGTGGTCAAGACAGATACTAAAAGGCTTGGATTATCTCCATACACATGACCCTTGTGTCATTCATAGAGACCTCAATTGCAGTAATATCTTTATCAACGGTAATGTTGGAAAGGTATGAACTCAGTCTCAACTGACTTCAGTTGTCCGTTTATAGGTATTGAACACTGGCTTAATGTTTCTATGATCTAGACATAAGTATGCAACACTATATGGTACAAAACATAATGTTCGTAGCTCCCACTTTATGTCAAAAATACAATGTAGTGATGCCCAGTCCTAATGAATTAGTTCCTCTCTCTTTCAGATGATACTAAAAGCTGCAAAATACATGCCATTTACTTTCTTCACATATTCATGGAAATGAGAGGTTCTGTTTCTCTTACATATCCTTGAGTCTCCGGGAAGACAACTTGTGCTAGTATTATTAGAGATAGCTTATGGAACCTAAATCCTAATTTTGGCTGAGTGGGTATCAGGGTAGACGCATGCTTTAGGCAGTTGGTGGGGCGCATTACCTCTACACCTACTGTCACGATGGATTAGCGGGTGAAGTTATAATCTATAGCCACTTAAATTAAAATTGCAAATCTACATCTGTGTGTTATTCTTGTCACTTAGTATAAAAGCGGGAGTCTAAGATCACCTTACGATATAAAATGCACCCTTGCATAGTGAAGTACATTTGGAAGTGTTTGGTTAATTTAAGGGGGCAGGATTCAAAGGTATTCACTCGCGATCTTCAGTGTACATTTAATCAGATACAAGATCTTGATCAACCTTAACATCGTAACAATATCATGTTTACACAGGTAAAGATTGGTGATCTTGGTCTGGCAACAATTGTGGGGAAGAACCATGCAGCACATACTCTACTAGGGACACCAGAGTATATGGCACCAGAGCTTTATGAAGAGGACTACACCGAGTTGGTGGATATATACTCATTTGCTATGTGCTTGGTTGAAATGGCTACTATTGAGATACCTTACAGTGAATGTGACGGTATAGCCAAACTATACAAGATGGTAACTGCTGGAATAAAGCCTCAAGCTCTTAACAGGGTGAGCGATCCTGAGTTGAAGGCCTTCATTTTAAGGTGCATCGGGCAGCCAAGAGCAAGACCCTCAGCCGCTGAACTGTTGAAGGATCCGTTCCTTTCTGATGTTGTCAGTTATGATGAGAATTAATGATCTTTTGATAGCTGATTCATTTTGTTCAAGTTTTGCTAGTTATTGAGTAATGTTCTTTATTGTAGCTCAATATTAATTTGGAATAATTCTGTTCTTGATCATGCAAGATACAAAAGACAGTCTCAGTATCACACCTTTTCTGCTCAATAGAAGTTAAGTGTTGTATAGAGATCCATTGAGATGTATAGTTTGAAGGAAAATTAGTTGACTATAGTTGATATAATATTCACTTTCTAGATTTTTGCATTATGAGTTTTTGTAACATTTAGTTTGTGTGGTCCAACCTATTGTTAAAACAAACAATAAAATAAGTGAAATAGGCATGTGCCTATAGATAGGTTAGCAGAGATACTTGGAGCCAAAGGCTAAATTTGTGGAGGAGAATTAACAATTCTCCTGTAGCATTCTTGGAGGCTACGTATTTTCTCCTATAAAAGGAGAGCTCTTTCACTTCTTTCAACACACCAACAAAGAGAGAAAGAAAGAGTGAGGCATCACAGACAGGGTATAAGAAAATAGTCTGTGAGAAAATAGAGAGTGTGAGCGATATTGTAGTGAGGTGGAAATATCAAAAGAGGGTTATCTCTTTTGAGTGTTGTAGTGGTCTTTGGAGTATTTTACTCGGGCCTACAAAGTGTAAAATTCCTTGCTATAGTGATATCAGTTGCTCCTCTCGGGGTCGTGGTTTTTTCCCTTATTCAGAAGGGTTTTCCACGTAAAAATCTTGGTGCCGTTGTCACTCTTTTATTCTTGTTGATTACCGTATCTCAGTGCTACATTATTGTTCCGCTTTTATTACCGTGAATATTATTACTATAGGGGATTTATTCCCAACTAAGGCTGTATTGTGGTCCGGGCCCGGGCCAAACGGTCCCGAGCTTTGGCGGGCCGGGCTTTGGCGGTCCCGGGCCTAACGAGCCAAATGAGTGGAACCGGCCCACTATGGTCCTAAGCCCACATGGTCCCGGGCTAAATGGGCCGGGCCCACGGGCCTAAAGGGCTTTTTCGTTCCGGGCTATTTTTTTTGAATTTTTTTTATCTAAGGCAATTTCTTGTAAGCTATATATGTATATACTAATATATATTGCTTATATATAGCTATATATATATACATATATATAGTATATATAGTTTATATAGTATGTATATATGTAGTATATATAGTATATATACTATATATAAGGCAATATATAGTATGTATATATATTGCCTTATATATATTATCTATAATACATTAACATATATATATATATATAACTTATATGTGTTAGATGTATATATATATCTTATATATATTATGTAGTATATATAGTATGTTATGTATATATATTGCCTTATATAATTTCTTGTAAATA